CAGGATGAGCTCTTTCCTTTTTGCAAGTGAAGTGCTGGTTGTTAGTCAATATTTAAGAAGTGAGACAACAGAGCTGTGCCATTTATTTCCTGATAACAATTACCTTCTTCTCAAACATTCCTTAGTATGAAAAATATTCAGCAACTTATTTCTTTAATATTAGCTCTATTCCCTTATTGCCTGTATAGTGGGCCCTCGACTTACGAACTTAATCCGTTCTGGAAGGACGTTCGTACCTCAAAAAGTTCGTATGTCGAAGTGCCATTTCCCATTGAAATGCTTGGGAATGGAATTAATCCATTCCAGCATTTCAAAAATATACCAAAATAAAAATAAACAGAGCAAGTCCTGCATTGGGACAAAAAAACCCCACAGAAACATAACCCACCCAGTCCAAACTCACCCTCCAAAACCCACTCAGAACAAGTTTTTTAAAAAGGACTTACCAGTCCGAAGCCTGCCAGTGTTCCGTTGCCTCCACGCGGCCAGTGGTGAGCGGCCAAGCACCCGGCCAGCTCTAGCCTCCCGGCGCTGAGTGAGCTTCAGTGGCTCCGAAGCCAAAAAGGCAGGGAGAAAGGGTGGGAAATTCAAATTTCCTGCCTTTCCTCCCTGCCTTTGGAGCTTTCAAAGGGCTTCCTTCGATGTTGGGGAAAGCCCTTTGAAACCTCCGAAGGCACCGATTGCAGCAGCAGGGACCCCCAGGGAGATTTCCTATGGTGGGGGGCAAGCCCTGGGAGACCTCCCTGGGGGTCCCCGCCGTCCAAAGGCAGGGAGGAAAGGCAGGAAATTCGAATTTCCCGCCCTTTCTCCCTGACTTTTTGGTTCGTAACTCGATCTGCGTTTGCAAGTAGGGTCTGCTACTTGTGATGAGATTGGGTTCGTAACCCGAAACGTTCGCAACTTGGGCTGTTCGTAAGTCGAGGGCCCACTGTATCAGCTTCTTCTGCTCAGCATTCAAAACTTTTATATTTCTGTCTGGACAGAATATAATATCTGAGTCATAGTTCTGAATTTTGTAAATGGAATCTGCCAACCACAAAAGAGCCTTTTTGTTTAACCTCTGCTATGGGGAATCACACGTTCTCTGCCATGTTCAGAATATCAAAATGGTGGTGAAGAATCTGGCATTGAACATGCAGCAAATGCCCTAAATCCCATAATCTCTACTCTGGCCACCATAGGATCATGAATATCTGAGTCATAGTTCTGAATTTTGTAAATGGAATCTGCCAACCACAAAAGAGCCTTTTTGTTTAACCTCTGCTATGGGGAATCACACGTTCTCTGCCATGTTCAGAATATCAAAATGGTGGTGAAGAATCTGGCATTGAACATGCAGCAAATGCCCTAAATCCCATAATCTCTACTCTGGCCACCATAGGATCATGAACTGTGTTAAGACACAGATGGTGGCCTCTGGCTCTCTAGCTGTTGTTGGACTATAGTTTCCCCTGATCAGTGGCCATGGAGGCCGAGACTTACGGAAACCAAACTCCTAGTAATATCTGGAGAGTTCTTCCTAGCGTTAGCAGTTTGTTTTTCCACTATGACCTTTTTGGGCTAAATTAGCTTTGTGGAATTCTACACAATGAGTGGAATTAGCTGTTTGCAGGTTCTAGCTTTTCCAGTGGAAACTCTTAAAATACAAATAGAGGTAAACATTCTTTTAGCTTCAGAAGACTTTAAAACCCTGAAGAAACAGAGAATAACGTTCCATATCTTTGTATCTTTTCTACTTAGATATGTCCAGTCTATGGAGATACAGTGCAGAAAATACCATTACTTGGAAAGTTGCTTTTAAAAGTAAACAGTTACCGCTACACTACATGAAATTGCTGGGAGAGGTTGTCTGGATTTTTGAGGTTCGGTGTCACCAGTACATGGATGACACCGAACTGTCTCTCTCTCCTTTCCATGCAAATCCGAGGAAGCTATTTCATCTCTATATCCGTGTCTGATGTCAGTAATGGACTGGAATACTGTAAATGAGAGTACTGTAAATAAACTGAAACTTAATCTAGACAAGTGTTCCTGGTCAATCGAAAGGCAGATCAAGGAATAGGGATGCAGTCTTTGCTGGACAGAGTTACACTCCCTCTGAAAATGCAGATGTGCAGCTTGGGATTGCTCCTGGATTCGTCTGTGATCCTGGATGCCCAGGTTTTGGCAATAGACAGGAGTGCCTTTGCACAGTTAAAATTAGTGTGCCCGCCACGCCTGTTCCTAGAGAGATCCGATCTGGCCATGCCTTAGTTGCACCCTGACTGTATTACTGTAACACACTGTATGTTGGGCTGCCTTTGGAAATGTTTGGAAACTTCAGCGGGTCTAAAACATGTCAGCCAGATTGCTGGTTACAGGGATCACATAACCCCCATGTTACAGCAGCTCCACTGGCTGCTCCATATCCAGGCACAGTTCAAAGTGCTGGTTTTAACCTATAAAACTCTAAATGACTTGAGCCCGAGGCTATCTCAGGGACTGTGCCTCCCTTTCTGAGCCTGTCTCCTTGTTTCTTCTGTGAAATCGTTCATGTACACCATATCTATCAGGTTTTATGTGCTCATAATTGCCTTTGCATAGGCTGTGAAGTCATCTTAGTAATAGCCATATTTTCTACACAGTGTTGCTGCAAAGAGGCAAAATCCGGAGCTGGAGTCCCAAAGGCAGTTCGTTTCGTTCTGCCAACTCCTGCGGCGTTGCTGGAACCAATTGTATTAAAGAATATGATTTTTAAAATTTTAGATACCAGGTTTATTTCGCAAACACACCCAGTATGGCTCGTCAAAGGCCTGAGTTCTAAATGTTGTATCATTACAGTGTTGCTGCAAGAATATAATTTTTAAAATTTTAGATACCAGGCTTATTTTGCAAACACACCCAGTATGGCTCGGCAAAGGCCTGAGTTCTAAATGTTGTATCATTAAATGTATTCTCGAAGGCTTTCACGGCTGGGATCCAATGGTTGTTGTGAGTTTTCCGGGCTGTTTGGCCGTGTTCTTAAGGTTTTTCTTCCTAACGTTTTGCCAGTCTCTGTGGCCGGCCTCTTCA